GAGTAATAAAATTTTTTAATTTTAATTTTATAATTTTAACGCAATTTAGTTTTATAAAATTTATCAGTTTGACTTTTTTTAAAAATTTCCTAGAAAATTTCTTTTTAAGCGTTTCAAACCCTATACCTCAGCCCTTTAGCCGTAATAATAACAAATAAATCGCGTGTTTTCTATATTTAAATAAACGTTTTTAAACCATCATCATCTTTTAGTATATATGCTCAGAAAATAAATATGTATTAAATATAAAATAGAAAAAAACAACAACAACAACGACAACCTTAAAATTCTCGCTAAAAACAAAAAAGAATAAAATTATGAACTTAATAGACGAAAAACACGTAAATGAACTACTAAAGTTAAAAAAAAATAAAATTTTTACAAGAACTATGTTCACAAAACTATCATAATCAGCAAAAATTTTGTATATATAATAACAAAAAAAGCATGATGATGTTTATGATTTCTGTATATTGTATACATGTTTATATAAATATTATTATGAATTTATTTACAACATGTTTTTTTTTGTGAATATTCTTCACGTGTTCAAGTCTAGTATATACTACTACGTTATTATTTTACATTCTATTTAACCGTTTCTAAGTGGGGGGCGTAGCACCAAGCTACCTACCTTCAATTCTTGTTTAGTTCCAAAACTTTAGAAAATTCTTAACAATAAAAGAACAGAAAGCAAAAAAGAAAAAAAAGAAATACATAAACTTGCATAATAAGTTTTGACGTAGTATACTGCTTTACCCAAGTTAGTTTGAGCTAACAAGCGGCTAGAGGGGGTATCTACAGCAACATTATTTAATAGATTAAAGTAAATGTAGACTAGATGTTGTTATGATGTTGTCAAAAACATTTATATCATGTTGATATATTTTTTTTGGGGGGAGATTTTTCTAAAGGTAGTGGGTGTTTTTTCCAAAAAAATCAATATATTTTCTTATTTTTTTCTAGTGTCTGTATTAAATTTTTCTTTAAATTTATTTCTTATTATGTTAATTTTTTTCTTTTTGTTTAATAAATATTGTTTAAAAATATATATCAATTTCATCTTAATATATTGACTAATGTTTGTTAGAGGTCATTATCTTAGTTTTTGATTTTATGTAGCAGTAAGGGTCATTGCCTACAAACATTTTTTTAAAAAAACACAATTTTTGTTGTTGAATCTATTTTTGTTTAAAACTAGTTTTATTTTTAGCTTTGAAAACATTTTTTAGATGTTTGTTAATAATTATTAAAACCCAAGAAGAAGAAAAAAACCAGAAACTCATAATTTAAGGTTAGACAGATAACAAAACCAAAAATAATACAAAAAATAACAATTTTAATTTTTGGTTATAGTTTTAAGTTAGTCTTTAAGTTATAAATAATTTGTAGATATCAAAATCTATTTGCATAAATTAATTCAAAAACAAAAATTTATATGGAAAATAGAATAGTTGAGATTAAAATTGATACTGATTAAAATAAAATTAACGAAAATTAGTAAAAAATGATAAATAATTAATGAAGATTATAAAATATATAATTTACTTGTTGCTGAAACATTAAAACCTCTAACAACTTGTTGCTGCAACATTTAAAAATCTTATGGAAAATAGTTGAGATTAAAATTTATACTTATTAAAATAAAATTAATGAAACGTAGTGAAAAATTATAAATAATTTATAAAGATTTGAAATAGTATAAGTTTGTTGTTGCTGAAACATTAAAACATCTAACAACTTGTTGCTGCAACATTTAAAAATCATATGGAAAATAGTTGAGATTAAAATACTGATTAAAAGAAAATTAACGAAAATTATTGAAAAATGATAAATAATTTATAAAGATTTGAAATTGTATAAGTTAGTTGTTGCTGAAACATTAAAACATCTAACAACTTGTTGCTGCCACATTTAAAAATCATATGGAAAGTAGTTGAGATTAAAATTGATACAGATTAAAATGAAATTAATGAAAATTAGTGTTAAATATTTTATGACGAATAGAAAATGTATAAGTTAGTTGTTGCTGAAACATTAAAACATCTAACAACTTGTTGCTGCAACATTTAAAAATCTTATGTAAAATAGTTGAGATTAAAATTGATACTGATTAAAATATAATTAACGAAAATTAGTTTTAAATAATTAATGAAGATTATAAAATATATAAGCTAGTTGTTGCTGAAACATTAAAACCTCTAACAACTTGTTGCTGCAACATTTAAAAAATCTTAAAAATTTTCCTTAAACTCTTTATCTTAGCTGTACATTCATTTAATAATAATTTAAGTAAACATTTTCTAAAAATGTTTAGCCACAATGTTGCTGCAACATTTTGGCTTTAAAATCTTTGTTTTTAGCAACAACTTGTTGCTGCAGCATTTAAAAATCTTAAAATTTATTTCTTAAACACTTTAGCTTAGCTGTACATTCATTTAATAATAAATTAAGTAAACATTTTCTTAAAAATGTTTAGCCACAATGTTGCTGCAACATTTTGGCTTTAAAATCTTTGTTTTTAGTTTATTTTTTTGTGCAAATTTATTAAAGTTTTCATGTGAATTTCTTGTCAAGTTTATGTTTTTAACTAAGTTAATTTAAATATACTTTAATTCTATTTAATAATACCGTTTGTTTTGGTTTTTTGCATTTAAACTACAAAAAAAATTGCATTTCCTGTTTCCTGTTCTAAAACCATTTGTTTTCTATATGTTTTTTTTGCTCTCACTGGCTTTAAAAATTTTCCCAATATTTTGTTTTTAAGCTGCTTTATCTATGCTTCTTTTTTTTGTGCTTCTCCTCTACAATTTTGTAATGTTGGTAATTGTGAATGAAAAAAAAAAACAACAACAAAATTAGCATAACAACTTTATAGTTTAACTACTTTTAGACAATCTTTGCAGTAGTAGTAGTAGTAGTTTTTTGCCTGCTTTTATTATAACGTTTCTGTACAAATCAAGCACAAAAAAAATGTTTTATATATATTGTAGTAAATGACAAATATCTGAACCGCGACTTTAACCCACAAAACTTGAACAATAAAACAACAACTTGCTGGAAAATAAAGAAAAAACTGCAGTGTTTTTTAAACTTTTTCTTTACAAAGCACATGGTGGCTTGAAGAATTTGTTGATTTTTTTTGTTAACTCTTGGCTTAATGCTGCTGCTGCACATTTTATTTAAAAATGCATGTATGTGAAATGAAGTCTTTTGCTAATCTTGTGTATGTATCTGGAGGACAATTTTTGTTATTGTGGGGAACTATATGAAAGACAATCTGGTTATAAAACTACAATAGCAGCAGCTTTGATATTGAGAAAGGTTTTATAGGCAGAGCACAAGCAAAACAATTGTATGAAATCTAAAAGTTTGTGTTATGAATTAAGGCTAAAAAAACCTTTAAAATCTTTAAAAGACTTTTTATGAGTGGTATACCATACAAAAGAGAGTGCAAAAAGGAAAAAAAGTGCAGGTGGTTTTTCCAGGTTGCTAAAGAATACATACTTTTTTTTTAATAAAATATAAAGTACTTACACAAAATAAGATTTTAATCATTAACACTTGTCTTATAAATAAACAGATTTAATGAAAAGATGAAGACTATTCCTTAAACCCCTTTTTATTGAAAAAAAAAACCAGGCTTGACATTTACATCAATGTGTCAATTGCTGCTTAAAGATTTTAACTAATAGATAAGTCGTCTACTATAACTTTAAGCAAAACAGTTTTCAGCGATTCCAAAAAAAAAAACTAAAGTAGACAAAATATTTGCTTTAATAAAAAACCCAAGAATATATTTTTTTCTTAAGATTTTGCAAAAAGATTTCTCATACTAGTTTTATATAAAACATTAGTCATTCCCAGTTTATAACCATACACGACTCCTCACAACCTGCAGAAATCATTTTGTCAAATTGAATAACATGAAATACAACAAAAAAATCAAGCTGAACAAAAAATTATATGCAGTGTGAACACTCAAGTTTAAAAGTTTTGTATTTTTATAATGATAAAAATCTTAACAATCATCTTTTTTCATTGTCGTTGATGTATATTTTAATTCTGTACTTTAGCAGTGTGTTAAAACAACAACTTTTTTTCCTTCTTCAATTTTTTTCTTCAACAACTTTTTCTTTAAACTTTTAAACGTGGTTGTCATTGTCAAGTAAGTGTTTAGGTTTAGCTTATTTTTTTCTGTTCGATGTTTACAACAAAAATTAAAAAAAAGTTTTGTGCACTTTTTTGTTGTTGTTGTTGTTATAATAATAAAGTGGCGTTAAAGAAGTTTAGTGTTTGTTGTTTTCCCTCTATAGTTTTGATGGTGTTGATGTATTGTTTAAATGAAAGACGTAGTTTAAAACCGTTTAAACAAAAAGTAAGAAAAAAATTATATTATTGTATATAAAAATTTTATTTAAACGTTTAAACGAGCTAGCGTACGAAAGAAGACAGTCAGTCAGTCAGTTTAGCCAGCAATCATTTATTTGTTGTTTGGAGTTTAATTTTGTATGCAAAAAACGTTAAAACATAAAGTTAAGGCTGTTATTACAAGGTCAAGCTTATTATTATTGTTATTTGTGATTTTGTTTGTTGTAGCTGCTTTACGTTGATGATCATGATATTTTGATAAATATACACGTTTTTTTCACAGAAACCTGGCTGGTTATGGGTGACAAAAGAATGTTTTTTTTACTTTTTTTCAATTTGGGACTTTATTTAGTGTGTGGGAATATTTTTGAAAATATTTTAACGTATTGTTGCTGCCCAATAATAAATTAAGCTAAAATATAGGTTTACTATAAGAGAAAATCGTTAAAATGACAACAAAATGCATAAAAACAATGGGTAACATGTTGCTGCAACATTTTTCAAAACTCTCCAAAACAGCTTTTTCTTAAAAATTCTTAAAGAATTAAAAAAAAATCTTTAAAAATGTTTTATATTTTGTAATAATAATGTAATTTTTTCTATTTTTTTTTTCTATACAAAATGTTTAGTATGACGATGGCCTGCACGGCTATGGTATGGATTCGGGTGCTGCAGCAGCTGCCATGTATGATCCACATGTTGGTCATCGGCCGCCTGGATTACAAGGCCTACCATCACATCATTCACCACACATGACACATGCTGCTGCAGCAGCGGCCACAGTTGGAATGCATGGCTACCATACAGCTGGCGCTGGTGGCCATGGTACCCCTAGTCATGTATCACCGGTTGCTAATCATTTAATGGGTGCAATACCCGAAGTACATAAACGTGATAAGGATGCTATATATGAGTAAGTAACAACAATACCAGTCACCAAAATGCTATCAAAACAATAAAAATCTCTAGAAAAATCTCAAATTTAACGCTCGTGTGCCTTTCTTTTGACTTCCTTTTTATGTAGACAAAGACAAAAGTGTGTTGGAAAGAGCATGAGTGGTGTGTCCTACGTTTATTTAATTAAGGTGTTTTTTGAAATTTTATTTTGTAGGCGTAGTAGCCAGAAAACCCCTTAAAAACTTAAATGCCAAAATTAGGGGTTTGTTAAATGTTAAGAAAGCAAATACCTTAAGTTAGATAACAGGGTATAAGGTGCTAAATTTATGTGTCTAGAATTTATAATTTTTTATTTTAAATTGCTCTCTTTTTAAAAGGCTTTTCTACTACATTTATTGCTTTTTTTTCAAAAAGGCATCAATCATTTTAATTTTTAATTAATCTGTTATTAAACTCTCATATACTCATAAGAAAACAAATAAACCAAGAAATATGAATTTTTATATTTACAAATACAAAGCAAAAATAAAACTCACCCTTTTTTTCCATAAAAGCCTGCAAAGAGAACAGAAAGAAAAAATATATAAATAATATGATTATTATTTGTATATTAATTTAAACCACTTAACAAACATCTTAAAGAGTGTTAAATACTTGTCAGTTATTATTGACAGATATGACATATTTGTCATATTTTTGAAATGTTAAGAAAGGAAAAAACAGATGTAAATTATTGAAATATATGTATTAATTATAAATAATAATTTCATTTTTATTTAGTTTAAATAAATGAAAAAAAAAACAACGTATAGCATATGATTGATATAAGAGGCAGGAAATTGTTAAATGCTACAATTAAAATAATAATAATGATTTACAAAAGACATTATTAAACAATAAATATAGCATTTAATAAATATTTATGTTTTTAAGACATTTAATAACTAACGCACTTTTAAGTAAATTTTATATTGAAAAAGGTGTTGTAAAGCTGTATTTCTTTGTAAATGTTGCTGAATTTTGTTTTGAACAAGTTTAGAAATGTTTTATTTGGTTCAAAATTGTATTAAAAAGACTCTATTGCACATTTTGTAAGATTTTTAACCTTAGCAACATTTTATGTTGCAGCAACATGTTGCTAAGAAATTTCATAATTTTGACTAAAAATTACAGGAAATTAATTAAAACTACTACAAAATAACTTCTTTTCTATAATGTCTATGAATTTTGATTGATTTTCCTTTTAATTATGTCATTTTATTATCATTTAACACCTTCTGCTGGTACATTTGTTTTTATTTTTCTATTTTATTGTAACCAACTACTAACTTCCAGACAATTTAGTTGTTTTGTATTTATATAATAAACTTGCACACAGCAAACCTTTTGCCAGCAATTTTATTTTATGGCCCTAATCATAAAAGTTAATAATTACGGAAGAATCCCTCAATAAAACTTACACAAACGACATTATATTATAAGTATGTGTATGTATACAGTGTACAATCAAACTGTGTGAGATAACATTTTTGGTCTTGTAAGGAAGGCACCATGACTAGTACAACACAGTTCGAACTATACACATTTTTGCTGACTTCATACATACAATTTACTTCTTTATTAAGAACTTAACACCTTTTACTTCAAGTGTCTGTTACTTTTTTTTTGCCCGTTGGTTGTTTATTTACCTTTCAGTGCATTTCTTGCAATTCTACTTTATATCTCTAGGGCTTACCACTTAAAATTTCAAATGAAATTTTTTTTAATAAAAACTAAACACATGTAAAAATATCACACTTTTTTTTCACCAAACTATTGTATGAAAAGCAGCAAATGATGACGACAAGTGTCTAAATGAAAAAAGGAAAAAAACGCAAGTCATTTAATTAAGAAGGTTTGGTTATTATTAAAAAACCCTTAAACTACTACAGGACCTTATATAAAACTCATTAGTGTTTACAGCCAAAATATGTTAAAAGAAATTACTTTTAAGCCATGTGGAACATGAAAATTGAAATTTGAAAACACCCGCTAAATGGACAAAACCAAAAAAAAAAAAAAATTAGAACATTTAACAAATGATTATTATGGCAGAAATTTCATTAGAAGGTCTTTGAAACAACTAATTGAAAAATTATAGTATTTCAGGGGTTAAACGAAAACAAAAACTACCCAAAACTGTCTGAGCCTTGTTTACGTTACTTTTCATTCTTCAATTTCAAACTCAGGTGCAATTTGTTTTAGATGTTTTATAATCCTTCAAACAAACACAAGAGAAACCGGAAAGTGAGCATTCATTGTTGAAACATAAATGGTCAGTTTGTAGGAAAAAAAAAAAACTAAAGCAGATGTTTTTTTTCTTGTTCTAGAAAATAAAAACAAATTTCTTTCTTTTTGTTTTAAAAAATTTGCATAAGTTTAAGAAAGAGACGGCAAAAGTATTATAACAATATTTAACTCAACTACACCGTTTCATTATTATAAATTATAATTTGTCATTTATTTTTTCTTTTTTCATATATAAAGAAAATTGTAAACAATTTGTCATTTAATTCTTAAAGAAAGCAATAATTTTTTTGTTTTAGCAGAAAACACTACTATTTATGTACTAAACGAAAAGAAAATCATTTTTGACATAAATTGGTCAAAACCCTATCAACAAATGTGTCTAAACTGTCAACGATGACATTGCAAATGTTTACAATTTTATAATCTTTCTTTCATTCTGATGATGTCTCGACATAAAATGAGAATGAACATGATGAAATTTATTTTTGCTCTCTTTTCGTAGACAAACAAACTATCAGGCTGTTTATATGTATATAAATATTAAAATTTGTTTTTGTTATTGTTGTTAATGGTTTTGAAAATTTTGACAGTTAAAAAGATGGTAATAAATTACTCACAACACAAAATATTGTATATGTATACAAACTTACACTCAAATGTTTGTGTTGTATACAGTAGCCTTTAAAAACATTCAACAGCAACATGAGCAACAACAGCAGCAGCAGCTACAATTTTATTTAAAAAGATTTATTACAATTTCGTGCATTGTACGAAAAAAAAACAGGCCTCCTTTTGAAAATGTCAAAACAATTTACACATGATTATATTGATTTTTTTATTTATATTTCTTTTTTCATAAAACAATCTGTTGATTGTAAACAAAAGTTTATTTAATGAAATAAAAGGCGGGAACAAAATTTTGGTTATTAAAAACTCCACAACATTTAGTGTTTGTTTAATGTAAACAAATTTTCTTAAAATATAAAATTTTTGTGTAAAAACCTTTTCAATATACATTTTTAAGCATTTTAAGCTTTAGCAACATTTTATGTTGCAGCAACATGTTTCAGCAACATTTTTAAAAAATACTCAAATTGAAGTAATTTAATTAAAAAACAAATATAAACTTAAGATTACTTCAATTGATCTATGTTTACATTACCATATAACACTCTCCAGCTGTTAAGTAAGCGCCAAACAAAAAATACCTTAAAAAATCATTACTTTTTCTTAATCACTTTCAATATCATTTCATAAATACTATAATTATTTGAAAAATACAAATGGTAGCAATACTGACTCTCTTGGTTTGTCTTGCTTAATCACCATACATACATACATACTCATAAAAATCTAAAATTGGCATTTCAAAAATGCATAGCATTTCCTTTAACTTATGCTCTAATTAAAATACCAAATGTTCAAAAAACAACTTATATACACATACTTAAGATACACAAAATTAGAAGAAGTAAAGAAAAAATCACCACACTATACTTTCTATTACTAAGTATGTGGTATTTAATGAGTGTGTTTATACACTCATTCTAAAATACACCGACCGCACCACCGCCACCACACACTATTTTATACGCATTTTATATCTATCTGGTATCTATTGAAAAAATTATACACGTACCGAGAAAAAAAGAAGAAAAAAAAATTAGATAGATAAATAGATATAGAATCAAATATTCCTTATATGATGACGGCGGTTTCTTGTCGCCATTAGTGTAAACAAATTTAAGCAATATGAAAATGTTGTCGATGATCAGCAGCAGCATCATAATGATGATCGTGGCTGTCTGTCTCATGAGATGAGATGTGTGGAAAAGAGATTTTTGTAGTTTTCATTGTGGAATTATAATCAATTCAATTGTATTTGTTTATTTTATTAATAATATTTTTTTTCTTATAAATTAATTTCAACAATTTATTTCTCGCCCTCTATAGACATCCCCTATTCCCGCTGTTGGCTCTGATATTTGAAAAATGTGAATTGGCCACATGTACGCCCAGAGAACCTGGTGTGCAAGGTGGTGATGTATGTTCGTCAGAATCATTTAATGAAGATATTGCAATGTTTAGTAAACAGGTAAGTTATATTATAGCTAATTAAAATTATATAAACATAGATTATTTAAATATAGAAATCAATCAAAGATTAAAGGCAACATGAGGCTTCAACATTTGAAAAATATATAACTAAAAAGAATAATAGAATTTAAAAGTTTAGTATATTGTAAGATAAGTTTTCAATACAAATTTATTTAGCAACATGTTGCTGCAACATATGTTTTTTCTGTTTTTAAAGTAAAAAAAATATTTTATAATAAATTTAAACAATAAATTCAATTAAATTTTCTATGAAGCAACATGTTGCTGCAACATTAGCAAATGAACAGACAATTTTTTTTATATATAAAAAAATTATTTTAAAAAGTAAATATTTTTGTTGTGTTTTGGGTTTTTATCTGTTATTTTTTATATTATCTTATTAAGCAGAACCAAATATGAATCATTTTGTTGTAGTATAGCGTTATATTTATACATTAAACATCTTACAATAATGATGATCTTTATTTTGTGGCACTTCATTAATCATCACTACAAAACAGCTAAAACGACGACGTCATTTAACTTTTTTAGTTTTATTTTTGATTTTTTTTATTTCTGCTTGGAACCCCCTCTCTTAATGTTATTTGTAAGATATTGTGGGGTACCAAAAATAAAAAAAAAAGTTTATTTTGTTTTTTATTCAAAAAGAACCAAAACATTAAATTTCAACATATGAAAATGATCATGATCATAAATACAAACAGACAGACATTTAAATGGAAAGACAGACTATAAGTAGTATTTATAAAAGAACATAAAGAAGATGAACAAAATTAACCCATTAAAAGATTTTCGTAAAACACTAAATCCTACACACAACTTGCTTCTTTTTTTGTTTTTTGCCAAGTGTTAATAACAATTGAGGCTGAAAAATTCTTTACACTCTGTGGCAATGTAGAATATAATATTCGTACAATGTCTCTAATTTTATGACTGTTTATAAGAGTTTTATATATACGATTTTAATCTCTTGACATTTTTTTCTTCTTCGTTTTTCGACTTGTGTTGACTGTTTGTATTCATTTTAGTTGTGGCTCTCTGAAGAAATGTACAAAAATATAAATAAATTTTAAAATAAAGCATTTTTTTTAGATGCATCATTAGTAAAACCAACACTCACAACAACAGCAACAAACAGCTAGAGACAGCAACCACACAAACAAACAAACCAAAAACATTGGCAACAGCAATAACTCGATATAAAAGATATTTTTATATATAGACAAGAAATCTCAAAATAATCCTCATGAATACAAATCGACATATGAATGCTAAAACACATTTATTTAACATTTTGTTAAAAATAAATTGTATGAATTGAACAAAACTAACCAAAATAACACATGTGTTGGTATATTAACGCTCTGATGACTGCTGTAGGGTATTTAAAAGGAAAAAAATCAAATTTTCTGAAAATATTAATAAAATTTGTCAATTTTTCAAAACCCTGAAGTGGACCAAACACTTTTTTTTTGAAGAAAAAAACTTTATCAAATATAAATTCCTTTAAATCACTTAAAAAATGTGTTCTTGATTCATGCTTCACAAAAAAAGTCTCTTGGCAAAGCTGTCAAAATTCCAAATGATGCATAAATAAAAACATCATTTTTCGACTTCCTTTTATAGATTTTTCTTGCTACTTTTGCTGTGTTACAAGTATGCTAAATGTCTAAGTATAAAACTAAACAAATACATTATAATGTATAAAAGAACAAAATTTATGTGGCAAAAAACAACAGCCAAGTACAAACAAAAAAAGTTTTTAAAACAAAAAGAAGAAGAAGAAAAAAGTAAAAATTAAAAGAATTTTATAACATGATGAGGTGCCTGAAATGATGAGATTTTTAATGTGATTTCGCGCGCGCGTCTTAACTAAATGGCCACAGAATTAAATACAAAAACAAACTTTGAAGCAAAATTTCTTTTTTAGCACACATAAAATAAAAATAGTTGCCACAACAAAAATACTCTCTAGAGTTTAGAGTTAAATTACTTAAAAACCTAAAGGACCTAAATGACGACTGCCAACCAATGTTGCAATAGACATAAAGTCTCTTTTTGTAACATCACTTAATAAAATTTTTGCTAATGATCATAATGTTGATGTTGATAATGAGCATGATCACTTCTTTTTTTTTTTGACTTGCAATTATATAGAGTGTGTGTATTGCTGTTGCTGCATGCAACATATAGAGTACTTAAATAAGCTGCCTGCTTTATGGTGTGTGGTTATGGAATGTAAAACAAAAATTGTGGATGTTAAAACATCGTAAATTATTTAAATGTCAAAGCAGACCATTAAAAAACAAATCCACAAAATTTTTATGGTTTTCAGTAACAGTAGTTGTCTTAATATTTTTTTGTTATTTTTTGGTTTCTTTGCTGCTTGGGGAACATCTAATTAGATCTAGTGTCAGTTTTTTTTGGGGAGGGGGACAGCTTAAATATAATAACAACATATTTAAGGCATATGTTTCAGTTTTCACAAAATTAAGAAGTCTTTAAAGAAATTATGAATGATACTTAAATAAATATTAAGGGTTCATTGGTTTTAATCATTTGGTCGTTAGCTTGTTATTTAAAATAAGAAATAATATGCTGGCTTTTAATTTAATAATTAAGCAAATATTTTTGAATGCCTGAGATTTATATTAATCATATAAAAATATGTTGCTTAATTAAAGACAATTTTTAGTAAATTTTTTCTTAGCAACATGTTGCTGCAACATTTTAAAAAAACTTTAAAAAACAAGTTAAATAATAAATAAAATGCAATAACAATAAAATACACTTAAAAAAAAAATTTTAAGAAAATGTTGCTAGAAATTTTAAGCAACATTTGTCTTATAAAAAAGACAAAACATCTTAGATTATTATTAAATCCAAATAAGTAAATAAATATTTTCTAAAATTTATACTTAGCAACATGTTTTTTTTTAAGACAAAAAAATAAAGCAACATGTTGTAGCAACAAAATTATAAAACTACACCATATTCTTAGAACTTTTCTTCAAGGCAAATTACCTTCAAATAACCTTAAACATAAAAACAAAATTCATTTAAAGATTAACAAAAATCATACGTAAGATGATGAAAAAAAAGTAAATTAAGTATTTGGTAAATGTTATAAGATTAAATTGAATATAATTTTTGTTCGACATCTAACGTATCCATGTGTGTGTGTGTGTGTGTGCGAGAACAGTGCTATGTGTCGCAGCATTTTAAAACAATTTATTGTTTAACAAAGCAGGTATACAACTTTTTAACAATAATTTTTTTATTTTATTCTTCTTCTTACGTTCGAAATTTTCGTAATCAACGTTCTTCGGTACACAAAATGACGTTAAACATTAAATGCGTCGTTGTTGTCTGTTTGAAGATTTGAAAAAAAAAAATTCTTTTCATAACAAAACCAACAACAACAAAAAAATATATTCATTGCTTTTAATCTCTTTTGTTTAGAGAAATAATTTCATCTTGTTCTGGGTTTTTGTTTTTGTTGCCAGTTTCTTTATCAAATGATAAAAAATGAGTTCAAAACTAAACCTTTTTACGGGTATTTAAAAATGCTTTGTTTTTCCACAAAACTTGTATTTATATACAGGAGAATGACACAACCCTTAAAGCAAAAGGTTTTGAATTTCTTTTAATTCTTCAAAAGGCATTGTTGTTTAAATCACAACACAAATAAAAAAAATCTACACAACAGGATTCTTTTTTTTTCGCCTCTAGTTTGTTTTGAAAAGATTTTCAAACCGTAAAAAGAGCAATATTTAAATGGTATTGTTCTTTTTTCTTTGTTGAAAAGACTGCCAAACTCCATGTGCAACATATGCAACAGTTCTTTTTTTATTTCTACTTAAGGTTAATTGTTAAAAATCCAATTTCTTTTTTAAATAGGGAGGAAATTTTGAAAATTCCTTATTTAGTTTTGCTGAGGGTATGAAAAGATTTTTTCTTACTTTTGTAGAAGGTGTAAACTGATTTGCTATTAATATTATTAAGTTTTTTTTAAAAGCTAAAAAGGGCTTTTTGTTGAAATTGTTTAAACTGGAAATTTTTCACACTTTTGTTAAGTTGTTTATTTGAAAGTATGTTAAAAAATAACATTTGAATACTGCTCCATATATATATAATTAGACATGGCCATCAACAACGGCAGTTTCCATCAATTTGTTATGAAAAAAGAAAATTATTGGAAATTTGGCGCCTTTTCTTCTAAGTTTAGAAAAGTGTTCATTACCAAAGAGGACAAATTCTTCTTCTGGCTCTGCTGCTATTTAGTTTGTTTAATTTTCAAAAAAAAAATTTCCCAATTCTATTTGATTTCTTTTCAAATTTAGTGTTGATTGATGTGGGCTGCTGTTGGTAGGTCAAAAAAATGTTTTCATTTCTTTTTCAAATGTATATAAAGTTGTTTACTTTAGTGTAAATTTGTGTTTTTCTTTTTAATTTCTTTACGTTTATAGACCTCAAGAAAAAGTATAGAAAATACGGAAAATTTTATTAATTGAGTATAAAAAATAACAACAACAAAATATATAGCAACAATTTTCGAGAATAATCAAAAACAAAAAATAATGTTTATTAAACATGCTTAAGCTTTAATAAGCTATAAAAGCTTAAGCAACATTTTGTTATATAACAAACAAACGTAGAATTTCTAATGATCAAGCCAGCAACATGTTGCCAAGGAAATATTAATCTTTTATAGTTTATTAGTTTTATTTCCAAAAAAACAAAATAGCATTTAAACTAAAGAAATAAGAAAATGTTGCTGAAATTTTTAAAACTTAGCAACATGTTGCTGAAAGTTAAGAAACATATATAACATTTTATAATAAAACTTAAAATGTTTAGGATCTGTCTAGCTTTTTTTTAATATATTTATTTTTAATAATATTTAATTTAGTTTGTGACGGACACATGTTGCTAAACTTTTTTTTTCTAAATTAATTTTATTAAGTTTAAGGTTAA